AAAGTCTCTGCTTTAAAACAACAAAAACAACAACAACATAATGTTTCATTCAAGCTTCATTCATGCTTTTTTATAAATTCTTGAATGTGGGTAAGTTTCACGAATACTCTGAATTTTTTCGCATTCGAAAATCGCATTTCTTTTTTCATAGACTATAACGTATATAAAGGCTAGATAGTCTCACGGCAGAGTATTTATCGTCATCACCGGCGGCCATCTTGTCACAGACAGGCTTTCTGGCGGGCTCTGTGGTATCTGATGTAAGAAATACTCTTATCTCGTTGAAATCTTGACGGATTTACAAACGGTTTGGTTTTCTCACAAACGTCATTAACGTGGCTATAATTCTAGATGATTATTTATTATACACTATATTATTCATAAGTATGCAGTATCATAACTACATGTCTCAGTATTGATATAGCATAATGCCATAACAACACCAGACCGTTTGAAAATCGGTAGAAAATTTAGCAAGTTATGGTGATTTAAAAAGTACATGCACCATTAAAACAATGTTACCAGTGAGCGAGCTGCCTGTGACAAGATGGCCGCCAGGCGCTGTCGACCTCCATTGGCCAGCAGCCGCGACGAGATACAGCCTTTATATAGATATCTATGTAAGCAATGCTTTGATTGCTTGTTTTTTGCTTCTTCTTCACCTGTGTTTTGATCATGAGATTCAGTACTCTTTCAGAAGATGCGTAATAGCGCCCTCTACTGTATATAAGTGGAAACACGGAAAGTCGTAAAATTCGCCAATGGCGGGGAAAGTCTTAATAGCTGGGTTTCAGTCACGATTATGATGACACGCAAAATTCAGATGGAGGGCAGGGAGTGAAGAGCGCAATAAGTCCGTACTGTACTACTTTACACGATATTACAAGAGAAAGATTTAAACAAACAATCACACATATGTTGGACGTGATCCTTACATTATGAAGGGGAGCGATTTTTCAACTGAATTTTGATTTTCCTGCCATCGAGGCGGTAGATATCAGCAACTACCTCGTCTTACAGACATACTTTGACTTACAAAGTTCGGAAACTGGTTCGTTACACAAACATAGCCACTTAAGTTGTATTAACTCACCTTTGACAAAGTGATCACTGCACATACGAACATTTTCCCATTCGGCTCCCCCTGACCACAGACGTAGGTTTGCAAGCGAGTTTTTCGGTCAATTTCTTGCATTTCCCCCCTTTTGAACAACAAATTTTGGTAAACTCCTCGTGGTTTGATCGATTTAAGTAGCCATAAACGACGCAAAACAGGCATTTTGAGTTTGTTATAGTGCTTTCTAAATACAGCAGATCACTTCCTGCCCTCCATTTGCATTTCGCGCCATGGCAACGCAGTGGCGTGACGTCATATGAAAACAAGCTTTTTTTACCCCAACCAACATATGTTATGATGTGCATAGAAGTATTTGTAACAGTGTTGTAGTCGAGACCACCTCACTCGAGTCCGAGTTGAGACCAAGACCAGAGAGAGTCGAGTCCGAGTCGAGACCGAGACCAATGAGGGTTGATTACCTAATTTACTTTTATTTACTTAGAGAAATCCTTTTTTTATTTTACTGAATTTACTTAGAGTTTAAAAAATATGATCAGTTTAGGGTAAAAAGGCCACATAGTAGGTGGTGTTAAAAGTAATTTTATTACAATTTGTCATGCGCAGTTGCGCACTAGAAAATCACCAATCACTGGGCGTGTCAATCAATTTAAAGAGATATTTTATTAACATACATTAATAATCATGAAAAATATTTTTAATTGAACTCGAGTGGACTCGGGAATAAGTCCGAGACCTAAAAAAAAAAATGTTCGAGTACGAGTCAATTCCGAGTCCAAATGCACACGAGTCCATGACAAGACCAAGACCATTAAAATATGGTCTCGAGACCGAGTCCGAGACGAGTCCGAGTCTCGAGTACTACAACACTGATTTGTAATGTATTTTTTGTGTGTTGCATTGCGAATGCACTTAAAGGCCATCTGCATCCATATGTGTGTAAGTGGTGCGAACACCGTGCTCAGTGCTGTAATGTCTGCGGCCCTCTAGAGATCTCCGTCTGAGGGTGACAACCCCCGTCTCAGCAAACACGCAGCGCTTTTACTAGTTAACCCACCCTCACCCCCCTGGCCTCGGAGACTCCGTCAAAGCCCGTGGAGAGACGCGAGTCAACCTCTCCTCTGTCCTTTCAAGCTCGTTACAACTCGTGTTTAATGCAACGCTGCTCTTAGAAGCGTTCGTCTAATTGTTCGCCATTGTGTTTAACCCATCTGAGCCTCTGACAGCACTCAACAATTGGAAACGCAGTCGCAGCGTAGCAGTTGTCAGCACGAGCGTGCTAATTTGAATATGCAGCGAACGGGGGGCTTTCAGAGCGAGACAGAGAGGGAGGCCATATTGAGAGCCGCCATCTGTGTCCGTGTCGCTCCGTGCGGCCAAAGCAGGGACATCCCATATGTCACAAGAAGCCCCGCTGGGGATAGCGCTCTTGTTGCTGTTTGTTGTTGTTATTTATTTACAAAAGGCCTTAGGAATGAAAAAATCGAGCTGGGTTTGCTGTGCCAGGTCCGAAGGGGCGATAATCTGGCATCGTTAGGTCCATCTAACGAGCAGACTCCATGTCAATTGGCCTCTGTGTGTGTGTGTTTACCATCTGCAGGATGGTATGTGCACATCTGCTGAATCACTGTGGTCCATTGGGCGTTGGGCCGACGTGGGACCATGTGGTGCGGTGGCAGAGACGGTCCCCTGAGCTTTCAGCGACAGGCCTGGGCTGCTGACATCACAGACCCACCTCTACATCCACTGACATCATGGATAGGCACTCAACTAGAAATAAAGGTGACATGTTAGCCTCAGGCTGATTTCACACTAAGTTTGGATTTTGGTTGGTGTGCAAGCTGTTTTACAAACTCAAATGCACATCACCCTTTAAGCTGTATTTGGAGCGGGGTTTCCTCAACCTTTTCAGTCTTATCTATCACATGTTTCCATGGTTCTGGGGGGGCAACCATAGAGAAACTACAGTAGACCTAAAAGTAACTATGAATGCATACTGTTCTTCAGGGATAGTTCTGACATCATTTAACCACAGTCATGTTGTTCCTAACCTGTTTGACTTTATCTTCTGCAGAACACAAAAGATGTCTGTTTTGTTTTGTTTTTGTCCATACACTGACTGAACTTCAATGGGATCCAATGTTTTGTGTCTTTTCCGAAATGGTCATGCAGGTTTGGATCTACATAAATCAGTGTCCAATCCTGCTCCTCACTTGTCCTGAATAATGACACTATTGTCTATTTAGAGCTGCTTTACTGCAGAATTAGTCTCACATTTGAAGAGGTTTGCATCGTTCATTCTATTATTTCCGTTTATTACTGTGAAGCTCCTTTGAAACAATCTGTATTGCATAAAGTGCATATTAGCACCTAAAATGTACATATTAGCATCTGAAATGGACATATTAGGATCTAAAATGCTAATATTAGCACATGAAATGTAGATATTAGCACCTGAAATGTACATATTAGCACCTAAAATGTAAATATTAGCACCTGAAATGTACATATCAGCACCTAAAATGTACACATTAACACCTAAAATGTACGTATTAGCACCTAAAATGTAAATATTAGCACCTGAAATGTACATATTAGCACCTGAAATGTACATATTAGCACTTAAAATGTAAATAATAGCACCTGAAATGTACATATTAGCACCTAAAATGTACATATTAGCATCTGAAATGGACATTAGCACCTGAAATGTACATATTAGCATCTAAAATGCTAATATTAGCACATGAGATGTACATATTAGCACCTAAAATGTAAATATTAGCACCTGAAATGTACATATTAGCACCTAAAATGTACATATTAACACCTAAAATGTACATATTAGCACCTAAAATGTAAATATTAGCACCTGAAATGTACATATTAGCACCTGAAATGTACAT